ACGTGGCCCCCTCACCTTCGTCAGCTCCGTGGACTGTCTTCACGTCTCATGGTGATTTTTCCCTCCCCACTGAGAGCAGACGTAAACTTGTAGTGGCCAAACTCGCCAAGCAGCCCTAGTCGCGCCACGCCGCAGCGTGGCTCCTCAAACAACGTCGCCACCGAAAACAGTCTAAACTACCTCTTATAATATTGCTTCTATGATATTCTTCTAATTTTTCTGGTTGGAATTGATACTGCCCATCTCGCACGAAGAAATCGTCTGTGCTGTACACAACACCGCCATGACTGGACGCAAGAGACCTGCCATACAAAAATAAGTAAAATCAGATGTACTGGTCGGCAAAATCCATCTGTCTGTGGCGACAGTGGTAATCAGTGTGTCCATCACTCCGCGCGACAGATTTTATTTTACATTACAGCCCCCTCCCCCCCCCAAGGATTAGCTCTATTGTTGTTTACTAACTAAGTTGACTCCACATGGAATCCAATTAGGTCTTCAAGCGAATGCCAGTAGGGCCTCTATGCCGCGCCGCCACAATATGGATCTCCCAACCGGATGCAAGTTCCTTTGAAAAACTCATTTCAACAAGACCCCACCAAGAAACTCTAGATGGATTTAGAAAAGAAAGAAGGTAATAAGTTGACATTTTCTTTCAATAAGCGATCCCTGCAAACGATACGGTGCACGATATGGTGTAAGCTGGCGCTCTGCCAGTCTTTCTCGCCAATTTTTTTTCGGCTCGGAATGGCATCGTCGATGGGAAAAGGCCGCTTTGGCAGCGCTCCAATTCACGCCACGCTGCACGCCTCATAGTTTCCACTGAGAGTGCAAAGAATGTAACAAGACATCTAAATGAACCCACTGAGCTAAATACGATTTTCCACTTCCCGGAACTCCACGCATTAAAATCATCACGTGATGTCCTTCGCGAATACATCGTTGGATGTTTTCCAGTGGGGCGTAGGCGTCATAACATTGTACGTGCTGCGGTGGTTTCAACATCGAGCGCCCCCTGACTGAAAAATGGTGTCAAAATTTTTAATTAAGGGCCTGTGCACTTCAAGGATAGCGATTATAACACATCTTGCACGAAGAAATAGAATGGTAAACGTGCAATAGAAAAACTTTGTTAAAGGCACGTTCCGAGAAGGCGATGCACAGTGACCCATTCGGAAAGCCACGCCCATGACGGCGACCATGCCCATTTTGGACGAGTTACTGCTGCCGCTAATAGCGAAACTGAGAGAAAGAGCGGTTCCCAATGTGGGGAACCCTATGCCTAGCTACTACCAGAAAAGAAATGATATGACACAGACCTGAACGCCTTGAGTGTCTTGCATCAAAGAGCCCCACCTAACTTGAATAGCGCAAAGCATGAATCGAGAAAAACACAATTGGACCACTATTTTCAAAACACGTAACTAGTTAATTATGAAGATCTAGTTAAAAGCTGTCACTGGGGACTCCAAATTGCATAAGAAGAACAATTCAATGGAAGAATTCTTTCGAGAAACCGAAATGATAACGTCCATTCGGGCTAAAAGGAAAAAGACGCGAGAGCGAAGAGCGCTTGGCAGAAGCACACGTGACAAAGCGCCGATGTGGGTCGACTGACCGACGACCGCCCCACGTCGGGGCCTCGATTTAGAAGCCTCGGCCTGGGTCTTTGTCCGTTTTCTTTTTTTAGTCGAAATCACTTTTTCAGCTTCAGCATTACTTTTCTTTCTAGGCGCTGCAGTAAGGGGAGATGCGGAGCACCCAAGGCATTTAAAACTACGTTAAACATCCACATCGAAATACACGTATTACCACACATAGTAACAACATTTAACA